TTTATTTTTTCTTTGTACCACTATTATTCTTTTTGTCGAAATACGTATGTTTCGAACGGAATTATACTTATTTTGTGACTGCAACTACGAAAGAGACAATGATAGTGAAAAATGGGTCCGATGATATTCTTTCTTCTTATTGGAATAACGAAGAAGGTGCGTTTCAAGTGCGTTATTCGTGTATTCAACGCGTAGAAGACAAATTAACGCAATATAAGTTTAAAAAATTTGTCTTTTTTATTGAAATAAATATCATATTTTATAGCGAAAATAAAGTTTTTTGAAACTTCTTTACGAATTTAAACGTTTGCATAATCAACTATTAACATATGAATATCTACTAACTTTATCGTATTTTACCGTTACGTTCATTGGAGTAAGAATCGTTTGCTTTTCTGGAAAAAAAATGGCACTAAATTAAGCGCAGTTACCCTACTTACCCAAAAATGTTTTGTTATTTCTTGGAAATTTGGAAAAGATCAATTAAGCAATTAATCGAACGAAAGAAAACTACGCTGAAGAGGATCTGCTGTATCTTTCACCAGAGATACAGCTGGGTAGTAGGCATTTTGTTTCAGAACAAAAGTAAGAAATGTTTGCAAATGTATGCAAATAGTAGAAGCAGCAGGTGTCAGAAGAAATCAGAAACAAGACCGTTATTAAAGATGCGCACAGAGGACGTAAAAAAGCTCGTTTACAGTTTTCACAACAACGCACTCGTTAAGGGAAAAAATGGCGACAGGTATTTTTGTACGTGCAAAGAGATTTAATCCAGACGGGCTTGGTGACTTTTCACATTATTTTCACAATTTTAGGAAAGGAAAACAGACAAATGGGCGGAGAAAGCATTATGGTTTCTGCCAGAGTTGAATACCGCGGAAAACGCGGAAAAGATTTATGAACAAATGACCGACTAGTAACAAGTAACATTCGTTTAATTGACGTATAAAAAAAATTCGCAACAACGATAACTAGAAAAAACGTTATATTTCAATAAAATAACGCAAATAATCGAAGAGAAGATGCTTTAAAGTGGTGGCTAATTTCAACATACCGCATCGTACTATATGGAATTTCCAATATCCGAATTAATGGAGAAACATAACTGCTCGGATGCGAGAATTTTCGCGTCTCTTTTTATGATTATTATTCCATGTTTCAAAATCAATAATACAAGAATAATTACAAAAATGCGATATAACTGTAATATTTTTTCAATTATTTATGGACTCTACAACGTTTTTACTGCTCAATCGAACTCCGTTTGTCTCTGAAACCATCTAAAGTCCAAGTCCTCTTTCTAATGCCATAAACGTTTCAAAATAAGAAGGCGTTTCATCTTCTTTCCTGCATCAGAACTTGAAATGTTAATAACGTCATTTATTCAAATTTCAATATCAATTTCAATATTTCTGGCGTCATTAATTACAGCTCTTCTAACGTTGTAGATTTTTACAATTTTTACAACACTTCCACGTCTTTTAAAAATTTGTCAAGCATCTTTTCTCTCCTGCCAACACCTCATACAACACATTTTCTCTTTCACGTAATTAGACACAGGATATTAACTTCGTGCTAAAGTAATAGGAAAGCAATATGTAATTATAAAAAGGGCATGTAATGCTAAAGAGCATGAGCGAAAGGTATTGTTCCGTTAATATAACAGAACTTTCGGATAATGAAACGTTCGGGTAGTAAAATTTTCGGATAATAGATCACTGAATACTGCAGGTTCCTATAAGAAAGGAAGGCAATTTGAAAGAGCTATAGATATGAAAATTTATGTTAAACACAGATGTGTTTAAATTTGATACAAGCGTACTGTAATATTACGTAAAACGTTTTCAAAAAGTGCATAAACGTTTTATCTAAACAAGATACAGACGCTTACACAAGACCAGTCGATGATATCTTTCATGGGATGATCCAATGCTTTAAAGCTTTATTGAAACGGAGTTATACAGTGCAGAGCGATATAATAACTGATCGCCTTTAATATATCCGTTATTTTTAAAGGAGAGAAACTGTCCTTGCAAAAGTTGTATGGTATGGAGAGGACCATGACGTGGCGATAATCATCTTTCTACAGATGAAGCATTCGCGGAGATTTTAAGATCACTTTTATTTTTCTAAGTGGCTTACTGTACTTTTTATCTTCGGTATAATGTAAACAATGTTTAAACGTCGATTTCCACGGCCTCTCATATAAAGCCGCTCGATAACAAATAAGGACACAAAAAGCGAACTTGACGTCTGACGTTGCAAGAGATATTCAAAGTGGTGTCTGTTTGCGTCGGTGTAACATTGGAATTATTGGATAACTGGTCTGTGTGTTTCCGGATTCAATGTACGAGTGATACGATATCAACACGATACGATGGTCCGACCGATGCAAAACATTCATTCCTATACTCTTCCGTCTATTGTCGAACAACCTTGAATTACAGGTCGTTGAAATCGTCTGAACATCGCTCGTTTTACCGAGGATAAAACTGTTTAAAAAGATAGAGGAGATTTTGAAATTAAAACCCTTCGCTTACAAAGAAAATTATTCTTCTCTATATCATACAACTTTCATTTTAGGAAAATTCACAATTTCACAGTGGTTTCAAATCGCTAAACGTGACCAAGACATGAAAAATGGATTTTTCGTTAGAGGCATCTTAATCGTTAGGTACTTTGACGTTGACGATTCGTTTGGGTACTCCGATAATGTGCCAATGGAAAAACCACAGAAAGTTTTATTACTCGTATCTGCGCAATGGTCGCAGATAAAAGATCGCCGCCTTCATTCGTCACACAGTTTTCACGTGCGCAAGTACGATGTCAAAGAACAAAATGCTAAGTATATAACTTCAACGACAGTTAATTAATGTCAATTCTGCAAGGTGGATACGGTTTGCAGAAGTAAGTGGAATAATTAATTGGTTAGTTTGTACGATTGTCAAATTCATTATAATAAATGAGGGGTAACACTCTACGCACAAATATCGAAGAAGCAGAGTAAATTGTTGCGTATTCCACAATATCAGGCTAAAAATCTTATTCAGATTAGTAGTTGACGCTACTATCTTTCAGTATTTGCAAAAATTAACTGCCACTGTGTGCCACTCTGGTCGTACGATCATTTTTTATGATGGCAGGGTGATCACGCTATTAGTTTCAAGCGTATTTTCTTGAAGACTGCGAAAAATGCAAGAAAATTTGTCAAGTGAATATCGTATGGTTTTGGATAGCATTATTATTAATTTCGATATTTAACACTAATATATTTATTTATCTATTAATATTTTTTATGCTGATACATATGACAAAATGTATTTCCTACAAACAGGTATTGAAAGACATTTATTTATTTTTAAAATATATTTTTTTTAATTATTTGAACATATAACTATTTTTATTTCAAATAAACTCAATTTTCCAGAATCGATCGTCTGATTTAGCATAAGGATTTACATTAATACTTATATATATATATAACTTATATATATATATAAGTATATATACTTATATATACTTATATATATATACTTATATATATATATAAGTATTAATATATATATATATATATGTGTGTATATATATATTAATGTATATATATATATATATATGTATATATATATATATATATATTAATGTATATATATATATATGTGTGTATATATATATATATATATATATATATATATACACACATATATATATATATATATATATATATATATACACACATATATATATATATATATATATATATATATACACACATATATATATATATATATATATATATATATACACACATATATATATATATATATATATATATATATACACACATATATATATATATATATATATATATATATACACACATATATATATATATATATATATATATATATACACACATATATATATATATATATATATATATATATACACACATATATATATATATATATATATATATATATATATATATATATATATATATATATATATATATATATATATATATACACACATATATATACATATAAATTGTGTAGAAATTATTACTTGAAAATTGTTTTATAAGAAGAGTTCATAATAGTAATGATCTCACTTGTTCATAATTTTTAATGCATTCTCTAATGCATTCCTACTATGGAGAGGTTTATATAAACCTCAAGATCATAGGCACAACCTACTACCTCAGAAGTTGTTCTACCCACATATTTTGAATTCATTGTAATATATTTCAATATCCTTGGAGAAAAATAAAACTAATTTGATATAAATACTGGCACATAATGTTTTTTATAATGTATATTAAGAATGACATCAATATTAAAAATTCTATTAGTAAGGGGGCCTAAAACGATGTCCTTTCATCTCCGACATATACATACATATATGCAAGGAGATACTTTACTGCTGATAGAAAATCAGATTCCGATATTTTTTTAATATCATTTGTTCCACTGCAATTTGTATCTGCGGTATCAGCGATCGTTGTATAGGAAACTTTGTAGGCCAATAAAAGTTCAATTTCTGCATGAAAATACATAAGCAACGATGAATAAAGTAGCGTATATCGAGAAACAAGTACAGGAATTTGCAGCATTTGACACAGTTATAGATGGGAAGGAGATTTTTATCTATAATAAGGTTCCCGGTAAGCGGCTGTGTATTCGGGTCAATCTTCACAACTACTCGACGAATTTTGACGTGGTTTTCGCCATTTTAAAGAGTACTTTTCGAACAAGCTTCAGTTATGTGACTACTGTGTGACCGTAAAGGGTTGAGTAGAAATCGAAAATAGAAAGAAGAAGCTTCTCTGCGATCGTGTTCTTTTTATAATCGCTGCTACGATACAGCGAGGAAATATGGCCCTCCTCCAAGCAGAGCCAATAGAAATTCACGAAATCGTCAGCCACGTTATTTTTAAAAAAGATTATTTAAGTACATATCAGCTAGTATCGTACAAACCTGAGTCAGTGTTGCCAATTTAGATGTTTGACATTTAAACCTACGTGACTTTAGTTACCTTTGGATGCAAGTAGAAGCTATTCGGACGTTAAATGTAAATTTACGCGTTTCGATATAATTTCGAATGTTTTTAAACTTTACAAAGTTTCGAGTAGAACGCATTTTTGCAAGCCTCCAAGCAACGTTTGATTTTTAACCTACCACGGAACGAAAGGCAGGATTATCGTACCATCATGCGTGTATGTGTGATTTCGTGAACAGGAAAATCAATTCAATTTGTTTCAGCGATCGCCGATTGTCGATCGCTCGTGGCGATAAATGCTATTTAGCTGTTAACCGATGAAAGAACTTTGATTCTCGATCAATTCAATTACTCGATCAAAAATTTTCATCAATTACTCTTGCAACAAATACCAGATCAAAGGAACTTTGAAAACCAGGTTTCAAGAGTTTTCTACTTTCTGAAAGACCTCTCGTTGTTTTGCTAAATTTAACAGCCACGTCTCTTTCTTCTCACATCATCGCCGCTAATTACCACCGCTAATATCGTTAACAAATGCGAATTGGCCTGAAAATTGTTCTACAATTCGCGTATAAGGTACTAATTAATACTCGAAACTGCGCACAAGTTCTTAGATTAATCGTGATGTAATCAAAGAGCACAACGTTTTTAAATCATAATTCCGCATAATTCCTATTTGCATATGAAGTGCATATAAAATATGATGACGAGAAGGAGAATGCACGAATATAAAATATAAAACGGAATATTTTGTTGGATTTTACAAATAAATTCTCATCATTGTATATGAAAATTTTGTAAAGTGTGAAATTGGAAATACATATAGGCGTACGTGTTTGGTTAGTAATTAAAATAAATGGTTTTAATCCCGTTTTTTGCAAAATAAAATACCATCCAAATGCAATCTATAACTCGTTAAATTATAACTTTGTTTAATTTTACATGTTATCTTATTTGAATGCAAATATATTACTGCTATATGTTGAATGATCCTGACGAGAATGTGATTGAAACCAATATCTTATTCAAGAAGTTATGTTAGTTTTACAACTTAAAGGAACGATTGTAAATAAGATTAATTGTGAAAGCAAATAGCAGAAATAATATATAATATAGTATATACATCGACAAAGGAAAGTACAATAACAATATACAAAACACGAGATACGTGTTTAAGTAAATTTTCATGAAATATCTTTTCCTAAAAAATATTGAAGAAAAGAAAAGTCGATTTTAGTCAATCAAATTACGAAAAGTTTAAATGAGAAATAACAAAGACAATAACATAGATTAATTACGTTATGTATTTTTAAAGGAAAGTAATAAAAGAATTAAAAATGTTTTTTAATTTATAAAATATTAAGTGAAAAATAAAAGGACTTGATCTCCTGCATATATACATACATATCGATAAATACCCCAACTACGTATACTTTGAATATATTTTTATTACGACTATGTACGTATTAACATGATTAAATTCAAACAGAGTACTTACCAATTATCACAGCTTGAGTAGTCACTGGAATCTGTAAGAAACATAAGTATATTTTTATTTATACAATTTGGCTGATGTGTCTTATATTATGCGAGGTAGTTTATCTTATCTAAATAGCGCACTTGAATAACACCTAAATAATGCGTTATTTGAAAAATTGTTATACTTGTTTCGAAGAATGGCAGCATATTTTATGATGCACTCGTATACACATACATATGTGTACAATATTTTCTTTGCGAGAGCGTTTTGGAGATATAAAGATCAACTTTGTTTCTTTGAATGGTTTGCCATAATAAAAATCGATAAAATTGGTAAAATTTTGAATGAGAATATAATAATTATTAGTCATAAATTTAATAGACGAAATACTTCGTTATCGATGATTATATATAGCAAGTTGGAAATTGACAGACGAAACAGTCGTAAAAAGCGATCTTTACTTCGTTCTTCGCTATTTCAACAAATTGCAATCTTTTCAAAGATGTTTTACGTATCATCTAGTAAATTAATTCTTTTAACTTTTTAAAAAGCTTTTTAAAAAAGCTTATTCAGCTTTAAAGGGCGTGCGAATATTCGTGTGACCGGCTGCACTTCAAATCAATACGACTTCAATACAGAAGAAATAGTCAATATAATAAACCAGTTAACTAAAACGTACGTAATCGTTAGAAATTCCAACGGCCACGGTTCTTTTCCGTGTCTAATAAAACTGATACGAGAAGCAAGAAAACAAATTGATCATCGACCAAACTCAAATACTTCTGCTTAACACATCGGGATAACGCAAACTTTAGTACGAAAAAGAGTCGATTTAGCTCTGTAGATTTATCACTGTATAGTAGGAATGTGGTGGATTTAGTCGAATGGTCTGTACGTTCTGAACTAGATGACAGTGACGATTTCCCAATACCGTTAAATATCCAAAAACCACGCTTCAATCTTTCAATATTGAGCCACAGATGAAAATTTCAAAAGAAAAACTGCAGTAAATATCATAAAATCACAAATTAAATTAGTCCAAATAAATTAACTATTAGATCGTCTGAAAAGCGTCTTTCTTTTACAATAATATAGTTTTACACAAACATGAAACCTAATCTGTCAAAAGTCGTAGTCTTTATTTTAACACAACAAAATGGATCATACGTAATTCAATCAAATAACATAAAGTAAAAAATATTGTGCATATATTATTTTCTTATAAAACGAAAGAAACTTTTAGGACAGCCCAATATTCACTCGCATCGATGATAACGCAACATAAATATATACAAATCTGAACAACTTGTAGGGGACAATGATAAGAATAGCAAATACAGATATCTTTAAAAGAAGAAAATCGATAGCAAAGAATAATTAAGAATACTAAGCAGTGTTTAGTATACATTGAACTTGTACAGTGACACAACACTTACAGTACGTACTGTTCAACAGAAAACTGCACTAAAAGCACAAAATGAACAAAGTTTCAAGATTATCGGAACGTTAAGTAGAGAAGAGTATTGCATATCCTCCTCGATTGCCGTGCAAATTTTGTCTGAAATATTTTTTCGTATCATTCGTATTCTTTCAGATATTTGAGCATTTCTAGTTAAACGGAACATACTGTTATTAACTAAGAACGTTATCCCAAACGAATCAAGAGGACGTATTCTATCGTAGAATATGCATATAGCACTGTTCCAAGCAAAAAGCCCCAGATGACATGTAACGTGTATAGGGAAAAGTTATTCGGTATGTTGACTTGACCTTGAAGGTGATTGCAATCGGTGAAGCATGCCCTTTTCCATATAACTGTTAATTCAATTCAGAATCAAACATATTCGAGTTCAAGTATACGGACACCTGTTGCAATGTCATGAAGTGTCAATCAGAGTCCCGCAGGGATCAACTTTAAATGTCATTCTTTTCCTACTAGGTGTTATTGAATTAACAATCATCATCTAGTAAAATGGATTGTACCTGCAGACAATACCACCGTACGCCAAACATGGCAACAGTTGCTTCAAAACACTCTCAACAAAGTACAAATATTCGCTGGAAAAATTTGGTTCATGGGAACCTCATAGAGTAAAACTACCGTAACTGTGTTCTCCAGAAGAAAGAGGAAGGTCGAATAATCAGAACTCTATTCGAGGACACGAAAACTACTTATTAGTAGTAAGTTGAAAGAGATCTTGCGATTAGCTCTCTACTAAAAACTCACTTGGAGTTTGCATACGAAGAAACCTGCTACCAGGGCGAAAAGACAATTCAGTTTACCTCTTGGATAATACACTCACCAAGAATAATACAAAGCAACAGCACCCGGTAATTAAGACCTAAACACGCGAGTGCATACCACGTACACTTAATTACGGAGGTATCCCAACTTCTAAATGAAACGGAGCATACTGCCTGATTTCTCTACTAATTCTTGCAAATTTTATTCCACTCTCGTGGTCCTCTGCTTATATCAAAGAATTAGAGGAAGATAAATTCATTACTCGCAACACAGAAATCGATAAAACAACTTGATTTAAATCTTCATCTTAAGGTGAAGCGACGCTGATACGGAAGTCTAGCATCCGCTCGTTCGAGCGAAATTAGTGGCGAGACCGGAAATAATTCATCGCGTCGTTATTTCCCGAAATTTGAACCTGGCGAGGCAACCTAAACGGTAGCTGTTTTGGCAGGTAGTTCACTGTGCGTAAAAAACTGTTCGCTTAAAAAAGAAAAAAAGTTATCGAGAAGCTAAAAGTTCAGCAAATAACATTTATTTACAAAAGTTAACAGTTTCATTGAATTCCTGGTCGAAAGTATTAAAACAAAACAACATATCATCCCAAGAAGCAATCTCAAGTCCAACCTACATAAGAAAAGAGTAGTAAAACATCTCTTGCAGTTGCTAAAAGACATAAACCTTTTCTAACTAATCCAGCTGCAGTGAAGCAGCGGCATATACATATAGTGTAGTGTTGGTTATCCGAGTCCCGTTTAACCCAAGTTCCGTATTACCCAAGGCAGCCTGAACGTTACGGTAATACTTTCCAATTTGGCCGGTATCTCCGATTTTTTCAAACTTCGGTATATTGAAAAGGACTATTTCAAAACTGAATATACATAAACGCAAATTAAATGACTAAAAGTAAATAGTAAAGAGCCACAAGAACTTAGTATTTATTAATAAAAATTCAAATAACAAAAAATAACAAACAACGAATAGATAAAAAGGATGGAGTCATTGCTTGCATTCGATTTTGTCAATTTTCGTATCATAGTTTCAGGTTAAGTTTTGATATAATGGAAAAATACTTGCCACTGTTTGCGACACTTCTTCTAACGATATTTTCCTTTTGAAATATCGATAGTAGTAATCTCTATCATATACATGTTTGCGTTCATTTTTCACAACTTTCCCATTGTTCCTCGGGAAAGTGATACGGACAATTTTTCTTTCATCGGAGACACAAGAGGACCTTTTAAAGGTCCTCTATTAATTCTTAACTTCGAACGATGTCAACGGCCCTTGTTTAACATCATTCTGTCTTATTAGATCGACGAAGTCCACAGGCGACAGTCAGTGCAATGCAAGTCGTCTCCAAGCCCGAAGAAAGCACGTATGAGTCGTTCACAGTTCAAGGCTTTCTTTAACATGAAGGGTATTGCGATAGCAGAGTGGACAGCGAGTGAGCCAAACGGTAAATCGGCGATACTAGATCGAAGTGCTGACAAAATGACGAGAACGCGTGAAAAAGAAACGGATGGATTTTGCGCCAGCGACAACGCTTTGACGGCGAAGCAGTTTTTAGTAAATAAAAAAATCACTGTGCTTGAACACCCATTCTATTGGCCAAAGCTCGCTCCCTGTTACTTCTACCTATTTCCAAAAATCGAATCGATGCTCAAAGGAGAGGATTTTCCGTCTACAGAGTTGTACAAGTTGCAGAACTGTTTTGAACAATGGCAGTTCGTATACAGCTGTGTATCGTGAACTCGGGACCAACTATTTCCGAGGCAATAAAAGTTGATTTTCATAGTTTGTTACAATAAAAGAGCTGCAGTCCATTTGTGACATACAGACTGTTTATTTTGAAAACGGTAAAGATAATATAACGCAAACTTTTTATCTATGAGGAATGTATAATTTAAATGTTAAAAGATTCGTTTGTATCAATCGATTGAAGTTTCGTGTCGTTTCTTTGGCATTGTTTTCTTCCACAAAACTTTGCAACTTTCCGATAGAAAAGTAAGTTAATGTAACGAGTTTTGTGCGGCGAACAATGTATTTGATTACAGAGGAAAAGAAGGCCGAGTGGGAAACGTTAAGAATCGTAGTAACGAATCGTCGAATTGGTCGTTTTCACGGTTACGCGAAATGCCCCGCGAACACGTTTTAAAGAGAACTCGAAGCGAACGAAGGCGTTACGACACGGCTGGTTTAGAGGTGGAAGCGGTTCACAGGGTGGCCAGCAAAAAAAGCACACGTGACATCTGCCGTCCATCCAGGCGAAGCTTTTTTGTAATAAAGCGACGAAATCCCAGAAAAACCGTCATCGCGGATTAAGCGGCCGCCGATATTAAAGCGCAATCTGAAATTCGACGGCGGCGCTGCCCAGAGAAGCGCACAGCGGCAAAGGGAAAGCGGGAAAGAGATAGAAATAGGAGGCAGGGAACGGGGAGAAATAGAGAGAGGGGGGGGGAAGGAAAAAAGGGTACAACGAGTGCATCGGCGCATCAGCTATTATTTGCGCGGCAAATGGTCGTTTAATGGTTCTCGTTGCGTATACATGGAAACGAACGTCTGCCAATCGCGGTGTCGCATAATTGTTTTTGTAAAGTGCGCACTTGAATGTCGCCATGATACAAAATAGCTGGCCAACCGAGTATCACATAAACAGCTCAGGCCGAACGAATAGGCGGTCAAGCGTTTGCGATCAATTATCTGTCTGCCTAAATAGAACTGTCCGATTGCTTTAACTAATTGGAATTTATGCATTAACGCTCATTACTCGTTTTCAGAAAGTACAGGGCGTTCAAGTTTTTTCC